AAGTTGGTATCTTGGTGATAGTGAGAAGGTGTATGTTCTGTGTAAGTTGGTCGATCTATGTCATGGTATGAACCACATGAATTAGCTTGTCGAGTTTGAAAGAACGAATGTGCACTCGAACAATTAGTTGGGTAGAGAGCCGAGTTCTAACGCGTGCACTCGTTAAAAAGACTTTTAAACGAAAGAATTATCAATGCATGCAAAACACTATTCAAGAATTACTTATTTACTATTTATACTTTGTTAATCGATCATGGTTCCCACAACCCTAGTTGTGAATTTAGTTACTCATATTGGCAAGAACACAATTCATAATTATAGATGAAGAAATCATGAAGTTACGTAGAGAGAATAATAAACCCAGAAATTTTACTTGAATTGCAAAGTCAAAAATCTTCAAAACGAACTTGGGAAATCAATAATTGCTAGGGTTGCAAACTAATCTCCAAAGTTACAAAGTAAAACTAGAATAATAATGTCTAACCCCCAAAAACGAGGTTTACAAGCCCTATTTATAGAAAACAACTCCTAAATAAAAAGGGAAACGAATTAAGGAAAGTTTTGTTCAGGTACGCGTCTTCAATCCACGAGATCGACTTACGGACCGTCGATGGATCTACGGTCCGTAAGTCCCTTCCGTCAGTCAGGACTTAGAAAATATTTCAGCTTCCAAAAATCAGCTTCTCTGAAGCAAATGACGGACTAGCAGTACAGATCGTAGATCGATCTACGGTCCGTATTGTTGGTCCGTCGTTTGCTTCAGAGAAGCTGATTTTTGGAAGCTGAAATATTTTTTAAGTCCTGACTGTCGGAAGGGACTTACGAACCCGTAGATTCATCAACGGTCCGTAAGTCGGTCTCGTGGATTGAAGACGCGTACCTGAACAAAACTTTCCTTAATTCGTTTCCCTTTTAATTTAGGATTTGTTTTCTATAAATAGGGCATGTAAACCTCGTTTTTTGGGGTTAGACATTATTATTCTAGTTTTACTTTGGGACTTGGGAGATCAATTGAGAAACCTAATAATTATTGATTTCCTAAGTTTGTTTTGAAGATTTTTTGCTTCGCAATTCAAGTGGAAATTCTGGGTTTATTATTCTTTTTACGTAAGTTCATGATTTCTTCATCTAATATTATGAATTGTGTTCTTGCTATTATGGGTAACTAAACTTCACAACTAGGGTTGTGGGATCCATGAGTGATTAACAAAGTATGAATAGTAAATAAGTAAGTCTTAAATAGTGTTTTGCATGCATTGATAATTCTTTCGTTTAAAAGTCTTTTTAACGAGTGCACGCGTTAGAACTCGCCTTGTTGCTACTTGCCGGATCAAGGAGGTAATCAACAAGAAAAGAATTATCAACATAGATTTAGTGTGATACTATCTAATAGGCTAGTGTCGATTGGTGCGAAGTAATAACTAAGCCAAATATCAATTATGATGTCTAATATGAGGTAAAGGTAAGGGTTAGTAAATTATACAAACATAGCCAGATCAAGGTGCGGGGTGAAATTCTTTAGAAGCTGAATCAAGGATTTAGAGATACCTAACTTATCACTTTGCATGTATTACATTAGGAAAGAATTGTGGTTACTAGAATTATTGCGTTATGAGATTGTGGTGAACACAGATACCCTAGTTAATTTTCTCATCTTGATAAAAATCGAAATTAACTTTTGTTTATTGATTACTTACTGACTTCTTACAATTTGTTTCACAAATCCCCCCTTTTTATTTCTTGTTTCTGGAAGTACTTTGGCTAATTGAATATAATTGTTGGTTAAAGTAAAGTCTAAACTATTTTCCTCGTGGGATCGACCCCAACCTACAAGTTGGGTTCTTTACTTGATAACGATCGCTTATACTTCTTTAAAGAGGTGTAATTTGAGCGTATCAGTGATCAATAATGCAACATTCACAGACATACATATATTATAATGAGCAATTACAAACATATATCACACCAACATGAAATCACAATCATCACCTACCTCGAAACAAGCTTGAAATACTAAGAAACTTGATCCTTCCCTTTTCGAATTCGTTCCGCTTGTTCTTGGTCTACCAACAATCAGTACAATACGTGAAACAATAAACAATCACTAATTACCTGGATTACTAGCCATTCTAACAACCCTAGATCAAACCCATGATCCCAAGTATCCAAACTAGGGCTTTTTCCACCATAGTTTCTAGATCAAAGCCCCTCCCCCCATCGATAATTACCCATTAGATTACGTTCTACGGATCAAAAAATAGGATTCGAGGAGTTAAAATACTTACCTTTAGCCTCAAGAATGGTGGAAAACTGTCAAGAATCGCCTGAGGTTTGTTCCTTACCTTTAAAAACTAAAAAGTGCTGAATAAAGACGTTTCCGGATTTATTTAAGACTTTAAGTCGCGTCTGGCCCACCACAGCAGCCCTCATCCCACTACAGCAACACCGCTAGAGCGACAAAAATCACCGCCAAAGCGGCTAGCACAAAAGAGTAAGCTATTTTAATAATTCCAAGACCCCATTTCACAACACATCTTTAACCAACGATGCTAAAAAATTATCGTTCAAGCTAAGATCGATTCCGGGAGTTCTACTAACCCGAATTTAATTATGTAAAGTCGTACGGATTCTTTAACGACTTATCTAACTACTCATGTAATCAAAATCATAATTAGATCACCCGATTGCTACCAGATTTCCCTACACCTCAAAGACTCTGATTTCGTCCAAATCTAGACTAGGTTGGGAAATTTCAAGTTACCATGAAAAAGTTTTCCAACCCAAATTTTTCCCCATTGACTTTTCCATAACGACAGAAAGCAGGTCGTTACATCAATACGTGGATTATCATGGATGAAATTAACTTAAGAAACTCATGATTGGCGTGAGGGTGAGCAAACCCATTACTATGAAAGATTACATACGCCATAAGGATAAAATCCTTGGCAAAATTCCTTGAGGATTGCAAGAAAATCTTGAACTCGAATCTTTTCCTTACGTTTTCGTTTTCAACTTCTCTCTAAAACCCTAACCATATTTCAGAATTGTGAAAATTTATCTAAGTCAGTTTAAACCCCTAAAATATTACTAAAAACGAGTTAGACTAGTGGGGTAAGGAAATGCCAAAATACCCCTCCTTAATTCGGATGAGTTTCCTTAATTGGACAGGCTGAACTCAAATGTGCATATCTCCCTCATTCGAACACGAAATTTAGCAAACTCGGTGGCATTGGAAAGAGGACTCAATGATCTTTAACTTTTACCTTATGAGACACCTAACTCATCATGTACTGAAATTTATGGTTGCTTAAATTTGACCGAAAACTCATCATTTAAGGCTAACTTGCACATTTCTCAATTTGGCTCTTTCCTATTTAGTTCTTATTAAAATTAGTTCTTTTTTAAGACCGAGGTGTTACACTTCTCATTTTATTGATGTTATAGAATTTTAAGTTGGAAAAGAAAAAAATAAAAAAAAGAAGGGCTTGCCCGCTGTCACGACCCAGACCGTCGGGATTGGCACCCACACAAACCCTCCGGTGGGAGAACCATTACTACAACCCAACAAATAAATTTTATGAAAACTAAGACATATAAAATTACGGGAGCAGGTTTAAATGACTATAAAAATGGAGTCCCCATAAACTTTAAGGTTTTAACAAACAACTAACCAAACTAATGCGAAAATTCAACCCCTAGAACCTGAAAGTCATTGTACCAAAACTCTACTCACGATAAGTCTAAGAACAACGGGTACAACCCCGAAACTAAACAAACACCTTAAACAAATAGTCTGAGTCCAAAAAGAATGGACTTAAACAAGAGAGATCCATGGCAGCCTGAAAGAACTGGCTCATCCTTGAATCCGGTCACGCTCAATAGTCACTTAGCTGAGGTCTATCAATAGCCGCCTGAAGATTCCCTTTACTCAACAAAGAACAAACAAGTACAGTATCAGTACACAACCACAGTGTACTAGTAGGATCACGCGGCTATCTAATAAGTGAAACACATGCAAGTAACCACAACATTATAAAATAGGCATATACCGAATATATACAATATTAGTCATCTTTTCAGGATCAATGTAGCATCCACTACAAAAAAATCAGCTTTTATCGACGAACGAAATCCGTTCCTAATCTATGATATTCCGTCGCTAAACATGATTAGCGACGGATTATTGACTGTTACTATATCGCTCGTTGATAATCTCTTAGTGACGACAAAAGTGTTCCGTCACAAATTTAGCGACGGACTAATCCGTCATTATATTTATAAATTCGTTGCTAATTTCACAATTCATTCCGTCATTTTTAATAAATTCGTGACATATTTTTCGTCGCTAATCCGTCGCAAGATATTCCGTCGTTTGAGCCAGCACATTTGGCGCAAAACAAGTTCGTCGCTGGTCCGTCGCCATATTTGTTGCTAAATTTTTCTTGTAAATTTGATTTATTTTGATTTCAATATGCTGCTGATATAATTCAAATTAAATTGCTAAATACCCCAAAAATAATAAACATATAAAATAATATCATAGATGGTTCAAAATATATAGAATATCGAAATCTCATATTTTTTATTCAAAACATCCAAAACATCCAAAACAATATATCACCTGTTCTTAAAAGAACCTACATTCATCAAATATTTTTACTGCAGAATTTGTACTTTCCAAAAAAGCAGACAATAAAACAAAAAGGGATACGATTGTCACGTGAAACTAATTAAGGATCAACCTCGTCCCTATTAGTAGTAGCTGAAGGAGGCACTAAGGGTGTCACTATTGATAGGTTATCAATGGGAGTACTCCCTTCTTGTACCCTCCCCATAACAACGGGAAGAAAGTGATTAGTTAGTGCAGGAAGCATTTGCTTTACAAACTTATCCATATTTGTTATCGGTGTTGATTGAGAAATTGAAGGAAGTACTGATGATGAGGTAGAAAGTTTCTGCCCGTTGTAACTTTTTCTTCAGAATCAAGATTGTATATTCTTCTCTTCTTTTCTACCCCCACAGCTTGATAAAATGCTTCACATTGATCAATATCAGCTTGAGACACTATTTTTTCCCACAATATTTCTTCATATTTTTCCTGTATTAAGTAGAGGAAAAATGAAAGCATTAAACATTGGGAATAAAATACATTTTGAAGGCAAATACAAAAACATGCATAACCTTTTAAGCATTAGCATTAATGTTCTAATTGGGCCTTCAAATTTCATGCTATGAAATTTAACAAACTATGGGATCTAATATATTTCAATTGGATCAAGTGAGCATATTGTGAGAGACCATGAGGGCACTTAGTTGCTAATTATGGCAACAGCTAGACAGTCGAAGAACAAACCATTTATAAAGTGCAAGATCCTAATAGGAATGTGTTTTCGCTGCCTGTTGTCAAGAAATGGATCAGCAGCCCAATTTGGAGAACCAGAATTCATTTAGTGTTCATAAACAGATGCATTATCCATAGAGAATGATCAACTTCATACGAACATACCAACATTTCATCGAAATAAAGAAACAGAAGGAAGAATCAGACGACAGATCCGCAGAAGTTCCATTTCATGTATATGAACCATATGATCCCAACTAAGAAAACAACTCATTTCATACCTAAACAAAAGTAATACACACTATAGATATCAATATTTTCTGTTTTTGATCTTTCACTGTTCAACACAAATTGCTTAAACCTTTCAATTTCACCAAAGAACGGAATTTTCAAAAGCTCTTTAGAGTTGGCGTGTCGTCTGGATTCTCTCTAAAACAAGAAAGAACAATCTCCTCAAACTCCTGCGAAAACACCCTTTTCTTTCGTTTAGCAAAATCCATCACTTTCTTGAGTATCTTATCCCTCTTGATCATCATATTTTTAAGTGATTTTGGAAATTTCTTCATAACTACATAAGAAGCTTCTACAATATAATAATAGTGTTTTTGGCCAAAAACATCCTTACACTAAACGTATAATTTAAGGTGCATCCTTGAACTATGCTTGTTAACAAAAAGCATCCTTAAAGTGTAAAAAATTTGGCAGTTTTCATCCTGCTGTTATGCTCCGGCAAAAAATTAACAACACCTACCCTTTGGCTGCAATTCACATGAATTTTCGATCCTAAAATCCCCAAATTACATAGAAAGAAGGTCGAGAAGAGAATGCTAAACAAGAAAGGAAACCCCCTATACAGAATTGGAGGCCAAAATTAAGCATGAAAGACAGTTGTAGAATGTGTATCCTGTTCAGCTAACACATCAGGTTTAAATAGAGGAACAAATCAAATTGACAGTCTTATTGCAAATATTTCGGTAACGAACAGGTTTAATGGATTGATTGATACAGCTAATACTCAAATGTCCTCAAACTTTCATGCCCAAATCTTCTTTCTCAAGTGTCTCTGATTCTATGCACTGTTTAGTTTCAGTTTTTTACTCTTTCTGACCAATACCATTATATCTACATTGGGTGATAAACATCAATTATCAATGGAGAAGATACTATAGAGGGCATGGAATAGTTGGCATGCTTACACGAATAGCTGGATTACTTCTACCTGAGGACTTGCCACGAACTCTTCCTTGAGCCATACCTATATACAAATATAATAGTGTTGTTAAACCAAATCAGAGAGAAACAACAAATTAAGCATAATGCATAATAATGAGAACTATTGCGGCAACAGAAATTAGAATGAAACAATTATCACTACTACAAAATAAAGTTCAGCTACCTGAGTGAAATACTTTTCAATTAAGTGAAAGTGTGCTAAAGTATTAAAATCGCCGCTGATGTAAGCTTGCAGATAAACAGAAAGAACTGATGCTTGTAAGTACAAGAGTGTAATAGCTATCATTGACTTCTATCAGAAGAGATCATATAAATTAAGGAACAAATTATTAAAAGAACCATGGACTTCTATTAGAAGCTTTACGCAAAGAATTAGTAGAAATCTATAGAAAATTTGAACACAACTACAAGATACTAGGGAACTGGAGAAACCTTTTGAAAGGCTGAAATGCTAAATATTATCAGATCATATGATTTTGATAAGGAATCTGGACCTGATGGTTACACTGTGCTCATCAAAGTAATATTGATATATAAATTATTTACATCAGAACTATCACATGATTAAGTCAAGTAATGCCATTCATTTAAGAAAATGATTTGTTGAGCTCAACAATTTAGAAATCGAGAAGGCACATAACACACTTCAGCTCAAGAATTAGTAGAGACCTGTTGAACACACATTGTTAAAAGTCGAGTTAATTGATTTTAATATGGTATATGTTGGATGAGTTGCCTAACATTTAGTATGACTTAGTCATAGACTCATAGTTAAAGTCAGCTCGAATTTCTTAATCTTTACGCTAAGCAAACAAGCTCATCTACAATGTGGAGTGTGTATTGTTCTTTTGTAAATCTTCCTTTCGAGTAGATCAATCTGAGCATTGTTGGCAAGCTACAAAGTGCTCAAACTAAGGAACCTCTCATGAACCCACCCCTGCCCTGCCCTATTAATTGTTTTAAAATATTAGCTATGTCCCGCCTTGCCCTGCCCTACCCCGTGTTGCCCCGTTTAAGTATTGCCCCGCCCTGCCCCATTAAACCTTTACCCTGCCCTCCTCTTGACCTTCCCCCATTGCCATCCCTAGTAAACTAACATTATTTATTACCAGAAAAACTTATCCAACCAAAATTATAAACAGAAAAATTAAACCAACATATTTTTCTGGAGAAAAAAAAGCTACTGTGGAGGTAAGGGAGGGAGAGAAAAAGAGTGATACCTTTTAATGAAACGAATCAGGTCGACAACTACTAGTCACAAACAAAAAAAAGCTATCTGCAGTATAAAATAAAACATAAATTAGTGTGCTATTTACATCGCAAAAAAAAAGTAAATCAGTGTTGAAATAAAACATCAACACTAAGCACGCTGCTGCAGAATTGGAGCTGTTAGATTAAAGTAACACTTGGTTATAAATGCAAGAGAGTAACTACATTATGCAAATTTGTTTCTCGTAAGATTGGTGTCACGAGGCACACTCTTAATGCAGAAAGAGCAGGCAGACTAAAATAAACTTATTTCTTGGTTAGCTCCAAAGAAAATAAAGGTTGCCTTCTTTCCGTGTTTAGTTATCCTACTATGCGCTCTAGTAGTAACAAACAGGTCGTCACTCACACGTTGAAAACCAGAGGTGTCCATGTCTTGAAATATCTTGCTAGTGCACTATAAAGAGACAGTAATAGTGTTGTTACAGACATAAGTGGTGACACTAGTAAGTTTGAGTTAGCAGCAACCAAGGATGTTATATTAGATGTTGAGAAAAATCATAGAGGAAATGGGGCAAATGGGGGTGGAAGTATTGCTCATCAGCCACGTACTCAAACACTGCACAAAATCATTAAGTTGTAATGCTAAAAGCAGCCCTCTATCTCAAATGTTTCAGTTTTCATCAAGTCTCCAGAGAAGAAAACTGGAACCTCAAACACCGCACAAAATCATTGAATCTTTTCTTAAAAAACCCTATTTTCAGTACACCCAAACTTCTAAGCTCCTATTTTCAAAAAAATTCAACCTTACTTACCGAAAACTGGAACCTCACGAAACCCCATTTCCCCAAAACTGGAACCTCAAATACTGCACATAAATCGGGTTTGATTTTGCACAACAACTATTGTCCCCAAAACAAAATACATTACTAAACTAAACAATTAATTGATTGAACTAAAAGAGTACTTACTTGTTAATAGAAGATTTCCTTTAAACTTTGAAGGCATATAGAGCTACTGAAGACAGAGGGAAAAAAGAGTTAAAAAGAGAGTTCATCCATTGAAGATGGAGAGATGAAGAAGAATGTGCCACTTCATCGATCGGAGATGGAGAGGTTGAGAGCTCACTTCTCATATGAGAGTTCCATTAGAGAGGTTAAGAGCTCACTTTCTTCAGATGAGAGCGTAAATGTTGAAATGAAATTTTGCCCTAGAACATATGACATAAATAAATTTTGCAACGGACTTAGCAACGGATTATAACATTCGTCGCTACCAAATAAAGATATTTATATAGATTAAATTCTAGCGACGGATTTTTCCGTCACTATATAATATATTTTATAAAAAATATATTTAAAAGTTTAGCGATGAATTTTTTGTCACTAATTCCGTAGCTAAATATTAATTAAATTTCTCACGATTAATTTGTTGTTAAATCGTAGGAAATTTTGGGCACCAAACTTTCGCGCTGGTATTTAGAGACGTAAAAAATATTCCGTCACGAATCCGTCACGAATCCGTCACTATATCATAACTCAAAAAAAATATTTGTAATTCTAGCAACAAAATGGTAATTCCGTTGCTAATCCGTCTATATTTAGTGATGGAATATAATTTGTTGCTAAAATCCATCGTTAAATGCTATTTTTTTAGTAGTGATCACATATTCTCAATAATACACATTGGTTATCAATTTAGAGTGACATACAGTCTTCCAATATCAATCATCATTAGATATGAACGTAATCATCATAAGTAGATATATATCACAACTCAATGGTCCTCTCACGGAACCCAATTCAATGGTCCTCTCATGGAACTCACACCCAAATTTTTAGCATACCGAAACGTGGTACCCGATCCACTAATTATGCCGGAACGTGGCAATCGATCCCATAGATATGTCAGAACGTGGCAACCGATCCAAGTTAGTTATGCCAGAACGTGGAAACTGATCCCATGTTTATGTCGAAACGTAGCAATCGATCCATTCAACAAACCACAATCACAATCACAATGTATATTTTCACAATCATACAACAAGAGGTGATTCATGGCATACAGTTATTCAATTATCCTCATTTACGATTAGGTTGATCAATAATGCAACATTCGCATACATACATGCATTATAATGAGCAATTACAAACATATATCACACTAACATGAAATCACAATCATCACCTACCTCGAAACAAGCTTGAAACCCTAAGAAACTTGAATCTTCCCTTTTCGGATTCTTCCCGCTTGTTCGTGGTCTAAAAATAAAAATTTATATGCAAGGATCAACAATCAAAGGTCTAATTATTTGGATTATAACAAACTCAATAACCCTAGACCAAACCCTTTGTCCCCATATTAGGGCTTTTTCCACCTTAATTTTCAGATGAAACCTTCCCCCATCGATAATTACTCATTAGATTACGTTCTATGGATCGAAAAATGGATCCAGGGTGTTAAAACCTTACATTTAACCTCAAGAATGGTGAAAATGGTCAAGAACTCATATGGGGTCGTCTCCTAGCTCTCAAAGTTGGAAAGTGTGGAATTTAACATTTTTGGGGTTTATTTCTGACATTAAGTCGCGTCCCGCCATAGCAGTCTCACCCCGCTACAGCGTCCCCGCCCTGGCGGTAGAAATTCCGTTATAGCGGCTTGCACGGAACAGTGAGCAAATTTTAATAATTCCAATACCCCAATTTCACAACACACCTTCATCCCATGACAGTCAGAAAATACCCGTTCACGCTAAGATTAGTTTCGGGAATTCTACTCACCCGAATTCAATTCCATAAAGTCGTATTGGTTTCTTAACGTCTTAGCTATCTACTCATGTAATCAAATTCATAATTAAATCTCTCATTTGTTACGAGATTTCCCTATACCTCACTGACTCTGATTTCGTCCAAATCTAGACTAGTCTAGGAAAACCAAAGTTACCAGTCAAAAGTTTTCTGGCTCTAATTCTTTCCCGATTGGCTTTTCTATACGACGGGAACAGGTCGTTACACCCGCCCTAGCCCACGACCCTTCTAGGATTGGATTGGGTTGAGCATTTTCAGGTCCTTCTAAATGAAAGGTTGGTCATCCTTAGCCCACCAAATTCCTTCACCTGTGAGGCTTGAATTGGATGGGGTGGGTTGACCCCTTTTGACAATTCTAATAATAGTCAATGAAATTACTTAATTAAAATCCACATTTACAACTTTTTTTAAAAAAATAAAACAAAGTGGTTTATGAGAAATTTCCAATTTTTGTATTGAAAAAGATGGCATTGATTAGTACTATTTAGACACTTATCATAATGCTATAAAATAGTCCATTTTCGAAATAATTTTCATGTATGGAACTTAATTAATTAATGAGTACTGTAAAAGATAGAGGCCAAAAGTGGTGGAATGAAAAAGTGGATCTCAAGTTTGGAGAGCTATGTTACAAGGTAGGGATTTGTTTGATTAAGAGATCTGGTGTGAACCTAGAGAAGGGCATGTTAGTGTCTGGTTTGATAGTTGGACACAACTGGATGCATTGCAATGTTTGATACCTCTATCACAGAATCAAAGTCAATTGGACAATGTCAAAGAACTATATGTTGAAGATGGATGGAAGATTGATGCACTAGAAAGTAATTTCATTGAGAATATATGCAATCACATATGCAATACCCTAGCAAACATTACTATTACTGAAGGAAGAGATAAGGCATGGTGGATGCCTAGAAGTGATGGTAAATTCAAGGTTAGTTCAGCCTGGGAACCATGCAGAAATAGAGGAGATTATATTGAAGATATCTCCAAAATTTGGGAGAAAGGTTTGCCTATTGAGTTGTCCTTTTTAATGTGGAGATTATGGTTCAAAAGGATCCTTATAGGGTAGGTCCTAATTAAAAGAAAGATTGTAGAGAGGGTTGATTGTAGTTGTTGCAATAATAATGTTCCTGAAACTATCTCTCATCTTTTTGTTAGTTGTCCTACTGCTCAAAATGTTTAGGGATGTTGCTGGGCTATCATTCCCAATTAATCAGCTTCAACACATTATAGAAGATTGGTGGAAAGTTGTGGTAGTCCCAAATTGAAGCCAATGTTTAGAGAAATTCCTGCTTTCATAACCTCGCAAATTTGGAAGAGGGGGAATGTGATGAAGCATGGTGGAAATATATCAAAAACCTCAATGATTTTGGAGATTTATAGAAATATCTACTTGTTTACAAAGAGTAGATATCCATGGTTAAAGAATGTCCCTCAAACTTGGCCCTTAATTGCCAAATATCGGGGATGGATATACTCCATTGAACAAATTTAAGGTTGTTAGATGGAGTCTTCCTTATGGGAGTATATAAATATAATACTGATGCTTCTTATCAACTTGACTTAGGAGTTGGGTGTACAGATTTTTGTATTCGAAATGTGCAGTGAGATTTCATATATGCATAATCTAAAAGGATTACCAATACATCTATTTTCGAGGTAGAGGTCATAATAGTTAAGAAGGGGTTACACTATTGCATTCATCAAAATTTACTTCCTTTGATAATTGATCAGACATACTCACTGGTGGCTCAAAAAGTTATAAATAGAGTATGAGAGGTCCCATGGCTGATAACATGGGATATTGGACACATTTAGCTAATGATAATGATTCATGAGGTGGAGGTGGTTCATGTTTTCAGAGAAGGAAACAAATTAGCAGATTTTTTTTAACTAAATTGTTTGTTCATTTTGCAGGTATTGAGAGACAATAGTAACAAAATAGGCAGAAATTAGCACAACAGGCTAAAGCAATTTTGTTATTCCGAGGCACATTTTACAGCTAAAACCTGACTCATAGTAACATTTCTCTTAAATGGTTGAAAATTTGAAACTCAATCTTGTACATGCCTCATTCATTATTAAAATTTCTACTATTAAAATGATATATATATATATATATATATATATTGTACATATGTTCACTTGAAATATATATGATTTTCTTTTTTCTTTCTCTTTTCATACATAGACAATACTTTTACAACAAAAGGAAAAAAGTGAGGAAGGTTTTGCCCATATTGGAGCTTGTCTTGTATCCT